ATACTTTATACAAAAAAGAAAGCTTAACCTTTATTTTTCCCTAGGGATTTTTCCTTACTTTCTTGTGAGTTTGGCTATTCTTTAAAAAGGATGTTTGTTCATTTTATTTGGCATTCCTAACAAGGCGTTCTTCAGAATATTTTGACCACCGCATTGCTGGAAATGGAAACCTCTAGGAAGGAAGGGGCCTGATGATTAATAACTGAGGGAAAAGGGGAAAGAGAAACACAATGGCTGAGGTTTGAAACTTTGGAGCTGGGAGCACAGGGGTATGTCTGGGTAGGAAACACATTTTACGGAAAGCAATGGTGAATAAGGTGACAGCTGGAAAACGACCATATGCAGAAGGTAGCTGGTGAAACGTGTGACGGTGAAGGGGAGGGCAGGACTGGAGGTGTAGATCTGGGAGTCCTCTGCACAGAGGAGAAGTACATGCTGTGAGCGGGCCAGGTCTCCAGCAGCCAGCACGAGTATGGGGAGAAGGGACCAGGACAGAGTGTTCATGAAGACCCACTAGTGTGAGGCAGGAGGAAGGGAAAAGATAGAGAAGCACTGGTCAGAGGGGGTCAGGGGCAGAGACAGGTTAAGGAAAATATGGTCTGGAAGGAAAAATCCATTGAACTGGGCAGTCAGGAGGGAACTGAGAGTTTTGAGGAAACGGTTCCTTCCAGGGAAAAGAAGGGACCATTTCCCGGAGGTTAAGGTGAGCGCAGAGGAGAGAAAGTGGGGGCCCAGCCCATCCGCAACCCTGCTATCTGCTTGCAGCTCCTGCGTGTGGAAGAGCGAGAGGCAGGGAGCCCCTACACCGGACCTGAAGCCCTAAAGAAAGGCCCTCTGCTCATCAAGAAGGTGGACACCAACCAGGGCCCCGGAGTCCCACCCCAGGGAGAGGGCCCCGCACATGTGCCGTGCCGCCCAGCCCCTGCTTCTGATACCAAGGAAGCCTCCAAGAGCACCACGGCGACCACCAGTGCCACCACTGCTGCCTGCGAGCCCACACCCCAAGAGACAGGCCCAGAGCCCAAAGGCAAGGACAGTGCCAAAGGGTTCTGTGAGCCCGTGGGGGAGAAGAAGAGTGCGGACACCATCTTCCTGACTGTCCCAGGCTCCCACTCTCCAGGGCCCATCAAGTCACCCAGACCCATGAAATGCCCTGTCTCCCCATTTGTATGGCCGTCCACGAGGGTGGCTCCCAGCTTTTCCTCGCTCAGCTCCCTGGCCTCCTCCTGCTTTGACCTGACAGATATCCGCCTCAACACTGAGTATGCACCTCTCTGCTTAATCTTTTCTAAAATCACCTACATGACAAATAACTCCCTGCATGGAAAAGTAGATGTGAACTCACTTTTCTGTGCAAGTTCTGGTTTTTCGTGAAATGGCTTCATGAGAGGGGTAGAAAGAGCATGTGTGTCCTGAACAGTCTGGTGTGCCTGCACACCAACTGTAAAACATGCCGGAAGTCTCGTTACGGCAGAAACATTTCCTGGATTCTAAAGTTACACGGGGATGATACAGAANCCATCTGGAGAACGTGGCCCTCAGCCTCGTCCCCACACAGGGCAGCTCCTGACCTCTCAGCAGATGGCCTCTGAGCATCTCAGCCATCTTCAGGGAAGCCGGGATCCTTAAAAGCTCTGTGTTAGTGCCTGTCAGTCCAGTTCATATGGAAAATCCACCCTGTGTCTGACTGAACTTGCCATGCTGCCGTTGTATTCTCAGACTCAACAAAACAGCGAGGCTGTGCGGGATCCTATGGCCAGCCTGGGGGGCAGGGGCTGGCTGGCTTCCTGCTGCCATGAATAGCTTCTCCAAAACCTGTGTGTCTCCTGCTGCTGGAGGCAGCTAGTAAGGGTCTGTGTCTGCTTGTAGGACCCTGACGGCCTTTCCACTGCCATCCTCGTGGTCTTCTTGGAGAGTGCCTGCAACCTACCGGTGAGTAGTGACATGGCCAGAGTGGCATACACACCCTGCCTTGTGCCCATTTGAAATGGAAATTTACAAATGTTCTGTTGCTCATTTACCCTTCTTGTGCTGCAGCGAAACCCTTTTGACTACCTGAACGGCGAGTATCGAGCCAAAAAACTCTCCAGGTTTACTAAGGCAAGTGTGTCTATGGCTGACAACTTGAATAACAGCAAGTTATAACTCCTTTTCCCCAGAGTAACCACAGTCCCGTATCTTCCGGGCGGCAGTGTGTGCTCACACAGCCCGGGGATGACAAGACGGCCATTCATCACGTCTGCTGGGAGCCAGGCACTGAGCATGGCGGCTCAGCCCCACTGTTTGTTCTGCCCAAGTCCCATGATGACTGTGTGTCCAATTGTATAGCCATTTTACAAATAGGACCCAGAAGGTTATGTGCCTGGGTCACGCAGCTAAAGGAGGAGCCAGAACTTGACTCCACCCTGTTTGACTCCACAGTCCCAGGGAACGAGAGCCTGTGCCCGGGCAGGTGCAGCTCTGGCCACCTGTCTAACTTGAAGCTCCTCCTGGGTCAGTGCTTGCACAGTGATGGCAGCCCAGGGACCCTTCTCTCACAGGGAACCAACGGGCTGGCCACTGGTCCCACTGATGCCCCTGACGGTTGGGGGGTGCAGTGAGTGGTGTCTCAAGCTGCCTCTGATGGTGTCTTTATTGTTGTGGATTTGCCCCCTCACAGAATAAGGTCAGCAGAGACCCTTCTTCCTACGTCAAGCTATCTGTGGGCAAGAAGACCTGTACGAGCAAGGTACGACAGTCTGGTGCGTCGCCATGGGCTGAGGAAGTGGGGGTCTCCCCAACCCTTTTCAGGGAGAGAAGCAAAAGACAGGAATTAGCTTACACTGAATGCTTAGTAGGTGCCGGGACACATTTTAGGCACCTTATATTATTTTCTTTAGTTTTCCAAGTAACCTCACAAATAGTTTTACAGTTCAGGAATCTGAGGGTCAGAGATCAGTGACTTACCAAGGGCACATGCTAGAAAGCAGCAGAACCAGGGTTCAAGTTTAGGGATGGCTCTAAGCCTGTGTCCTTTCTGCCACCCCACCGAGTTCCTCAGTCAGCAGCAGAAATCCTGTCACCCCCACCCCGCCGCACCCCTCCACAAGTGAGCACTGATGCTGGTATGATTTTCAGCCCCTGTAACACTTTCTGGCAAAGTTCCCCTTGCCTTTGAGTCTGACTGCCCGGCCCTAAGCGTCTCCCACATGCAGGGCCTGGTCCCTGTGCAGACAGAGAGAAGGCCCCCAGTGGTACCCAGGAGCCCGAGTGAGAGCACAGGGTACCGGTATCCTGCTCTGCCCACCCTGGCCCTTTAATCATCTCTCCCCCTTCTGTCCCCAGACCTGTCCGCGAAGCAAGGACCCTGTGTGGAGCCAGGTGTTCTCCTTCTTTGTGCACAGTGTGACAACTGAGCACCTGCACCTCAAGGTTTGCTGGAAATTGGGCTCTTAGAACAGAGCTAAGAGGTGTCTAAGCCAGGAG